AGCATTAACATTGCCTTATTTCAAAAGAAACAATACTCTCATAAACGATACGCATGGTTCTTCAATTATGGCTACACTGGTCCCCTAGCATTAACATTGCCTTAACAAAACAAACAATACTTTCATAAACGATACGCATGTTTCTTCAATTATGGCTACACTGATCCCCTAGCATTAACATTGCCTTAACAAAACAAACAGTACTTTCATAAACGATACGCATGTTTCTTCAATTATGGCTACACTGATCCCCTAGCATTAACATTGCCTTAACAAAACAAACAATACTCTCATAAACGATACGCATGTTTCTTCAATTATGGCTACACTGGTCCCCTAGCATTAACATTGCCTTATTTCAAAAGAAACAAAACAAACAATACTCTCATAAACGATACGCATGTTTCTTCAATTATGGCTACACTGGTCCCCTAGCATTAACATTGCCTTATTTCAAAAGAAACAAAACAAACAATACTCTCATAAACGATACGCATGTTTCTTCAATTATGGCTACACTGGTAGCTTACATTAGGGAGAATAAAATCGTGTTAGGCGTAATACGCAAAATTCACCAAAAAAACAACCCAGCAGAATGAGAGAGACTTTACAATTTGCCGGAAATACTGGAGAACTCGTTGCCTAAGCAACACCTTGAGAAGAAAGCCGCCTGTCACGACACACGTTACCACCAACAATAGGTCGTTTTATACACGCCTTCGGTTTCAGCATAAAATTAATTAGAAGTCACGAAATGAAATTCATAATCATTTATTACTAATCGTCTGTTTGGGCGAGAAGATGGGTGATGATTCGAGAGAATGACAACGATTTCTCTTAGCAACGTCGACTGCTATAGTTCGGTTTCTCCTGTATGTACAACGAGTAGCGCCGACTACACTTCGGTTTCTCCTGTATGTACAACGAGTAGCGCCGACTACATTTCGGTTTCTCCTGTATGTACAACGAGTACTGGAATATGGTACCCTCAGATTTACTGTAAAATTGATACGGCAAGTAACAGGTTAGTAGAGTTTCAGTTGCTGTAACTGGAATATGGTACCCTCAGATTTACTGTAAAATTGAATAAAGACGCCTTTTCAAACTGTCATCGCACAAACAGCAGAGAATAGGAAAAAACAGCTTTGGCGATATTCTCTCTAAACTTAACTGGGCGTGACCTCGTTTTTAATGTACCGGACTGTGAACCCGAGGGTATGTGATTAGCGTCCCATTGCCGCAAAATCACACATTTGGACTGTGGGTACATTATTAGAGTGATGGTGAACTCCCACTATTTGATTAGAGCAGTTCAAGTGTCAGCTTTGAGTACTGTTGACCAGCTGCCTTCTCTCCAGTATATCAGTTCAAAATTAGAAACGGTTAGAGCAGATAGCTTTTGTGACTTCTTTGTTCAATACTGTATATATTTATATATATCCGTGTCAGTGTAAATTACTTGTACCTAATGATGACAAAACCTTGTCGAAACGTTGTACTTTTGCTGTTAAAGTTTTTCTTCATTACCCATTCAAGCCGTCTCCAACCATTATTAGATAGCTTTTGTATAGCCTTCCGCGCATATACGAAAAGAACAATTTAAAATACTTGTAGCCCAATCTTTATAATTGTAGTTGATACAGTGCTAATGATATTAGATTACGTACAAATCTATATGTCAGCACATTATTGTATTTGGAAATCTGCATTTGTATTTATGGCAAAGCTATTAATTTTGAACTACTGACCAGAAGGAAGACAGATATCAGCGTTTCTATTTCTCACCGACTGTCACTCTTATAACGCACCCACGTCTAAAATGAGAGGGGAAATATTTCGTGATATTGCATGCATTCGAACCCGGCTCGGGAGCTCCGAAATCCAGAGTCCCTAACAAAGGACCAACTCGCGCCCTGTATTTGGAAATACGATACGCCTCGGTTGTTTGTAATATGTGTAAGCGATGTCTCACCGTATCCAACCGGAAATTACTCCTGACACATTTAGTTATTACTGTGGATGGAATTCTTCCCTTTGAATTAATTTATCATCACTGAAGTAAGACAGATATCTTGGAGTTTAATTAACTGATAGTTAAAATATCTAGCATCTGATCATTATTAGAACTCGAAAAAGTAGACGTTTAAGAACTTATTTTTTATTTAGTCTTTGAAAAATGGTGAATTTTTGTAAAAAAATGTTTAGTAGCATTTCATGGAGAATAACGTAGAATCAAAACACAAAACTGGCCACAGCGTAAACAAAACGTTTTCGTAACTTCACTATAACTCAAGTTGATTTTCGTTGGCAGTCACACTGAAAGTTAAACCTAGCATGGCCAATTTTTAGGTCGCTCAGCTCTCGAGCTGAGGGTCTCAGATTCGAATCCCTGTCTCTGAACATTTTCACCCTTTCAGCCGTGGTGGTTTTATAATGTGACGGTCAATCATTGGTAAAAAAGAAGCCTAAGAGTTGGCGGTGGGTGATGTTGAATAACTGCCTTCCCTTTAGTTTATCTCTGCTAAATTACCAAACCAAGCCATACTCAAAGTTATAAAGGAAACTGCCTTTCATAATTGACCTGAATGTGGAAGAAAATTTAAAAATCAGAAATACATAATAAAGTTTCTTATATGCCATGATCGTCTGTTCGGTGCGCAGAGAAACTTACTGAAGACTACATGGCTTGTTACTGAAGACTACGTGGTATGTTTATTTTCAAACAGATCACAGAACGGTTTAAAGCAGTCTTCGTACGTGTAACGGAAGACTAACTTGCTCAAACCAAGACTTTTCAAATGACCTGTTTAACATTGATTCTATCAAATAAATGAACCTTTTGTTATCTACATGTGAGAAAATAATAATATCTGTATTCGGCGCTACTCGTTGTGCATACAGACGAAACCGAACTGTAGTTTGCGGTACTCGTTGTGCATACAAGAGAAACCAAATGTAGTCGGCGCTACTCGTTGTACATACAGGAGAAACCGAAATGTAGTCGGCGCTAGAGTTTCAGTTTCTGTAACCACCGACTCTTGGACTACTCTTTTACCAACGAATAGTGGGATTGACCGTCACATTATAATGCCCCACAGCTGAAAGGGCGACCATGTTCAGTGAAGGGGATTCGAACTCGCAACCCACAGATTGCAAATCGAGCAGCCTAGCCACCAGGCCCAGGTGTAAAGAGTCTAGGAAAGGAATGCAACAACACGATATTGTAGCAAAAACATTAAAAAAAAGTGCATTGTTAAATGTAGGAAGCAGCAGAAAGGTTTAACAAACAATGTTATTTATACAATGTATCCACTTCTTGTGTTTTTATTGTTGTTGAATAAGTCTTGTGCTGGGCCCCATAGTATACATGTTTAAACTTCGACAGTCAATCAAGATAATACAATCTTTGGATGTGATACAACTGAGATGTCTTCTCCGAATGTCGTCGCCACGAACATTAATGTCAGGAATAATTCTACACGGTGTGTTTTACACTTTTAAGTATTTGGTGATCCATAACGCTTGTTTTACAAAGTGAGTCTGAACACGACCCGTAACTATAATGATTTGACCTAACTACCCATTTTAGAGATTTTAATTATTTTTGTTGTATCTACATTGTATAAGGTCTACGATGAAGCGGCTAGTGAAGCAAACGAATCCTTCTATGATAGTGACTTCAATGATGACATGTCAGACACGTCAACCCAGTCTCAGACTATGCTAAGCACTTCTGTGGTTGATGCTACTGTACCTGATAATCAGAGAAATGTGGAAGAAGCTTCGGAAGAGGATTCAGTCTTCCCTGTAGAAGTTCAAAATGGGGAATACGTCGGTCAGCAATATGAAACTACCAAACAAGAAACAGAGTTTTCACCAGCTTTAAATATCCGGTGCACAGCTTTGTTTACATATGAGGTAAGTTATTCGTTATTATTAGAAAAGATGACTCGTTTCAGAGGAGAAACTGATTTCCGTATGTTACATCTGATTTTTCTTTCTAGGATTTTAGCTTTTTAAGTTAAATTTCGGGAAGTTTACATTTTTCCAACTTAACAGTTAAAACTTGAAATTTTTGTCAGTTGAAATCTAAGCCTTTCTTTCTGTGAAGCTGGTGGAATCTCCTATTTTATCAAACGTTTGTGACAAACATAAAACGTGCTTTTGAGGTACCACGTTTTATATTTTTCTTGTGAAATTTAAACAAAATATGAATTCAAAGATATAAAAGGATATTGTAGCTTTGGATGAGATTATTTATCTAAGATTGTTGTCGTATACAACGGTTGAGAAATGAAAGTTTTCTTTCTTGTGGGTCAGCAATTATTAAATTATCATAATTGAATTAATTAATTAGAATTAAATTAATTTTTGGCCTTTTTTTATGGTAATATATGCCTAATATTTCCATGACAACTAAACATGATTTTGTGAGTTTATTTTTTTATGGGTTGTATTTCTAATTTCTGAGGAGTAGTTACGTGAACTTTTCTGTGTTGGTTTATTATCTGTAGGAAAATGAAGCTTAATTGTGTGTTATCTCTGTAATATCGTCGTAACAGTAGCTTCATTGTACGTAGATTTATTACTAGTGGACGAGTGTTATTTTGTGCTATAAGTATAACATCACCATGACAACTGAACTTTATTGTAATGAGATTTAATACATTTAAGATAACGGGGGTTTTCTTGTCTGTTATACGGCAAGTAACAGTTTAGTAGAGTTTCAGTTTCTGTACCTGGAATATGGTACCCTCAGATTTACTGTAAAATTGATATGGCAAGTAACATGTTAATAGAGTTTCAGTTTCTGTAAGTGGAATATGGTACCCTCAGATTTACTGTAAAATTGATACGGCAAGTAACAGGTTAGTGGGTAGTGTTGACTAACTACATTCCCTGTAGTCTACCACTGCTAAATTAGAGACGGCTAATGCCATGACTATACGAGGACAATCCGTGGGTAGTGTTGACTAACTACATTCCCTGTAGTCTACCACTGCTAAATTAGAGATGGCTAATGCCAGATTGTCCTTGTGTAGCTTTAAAGTCATGAGGTAAAACAAAGACTAATTAAAAAAGGAAACCTAATTGAAACCATGAGCAATTCTACGTAAATAATCCAAACAAGTTGCTAAGTTTTGGGTTTCAAACAAATATCAGTACAAACAAGAATCGCTTTCCAAACTGTTGTTTTACTTCTTTGTGGAGCGTAACAATGGGAAGTGAACTTAGACCTTCGGATTCACAGTCCGACACGTCTATAACGTTTTGTTTTATTTATCAACAGATACATCACAATTCTTCATAATTCTGGCGCTTCAATTTCAACTGGCCCATTCTAGGTTTCCAGGGCAGAGGATTTAAAAATGTAATGGTAATATTTCTTGCTTTTATAATGCTTGCTGTCTCGATACTAGTCAATGCTCGTAGTCAATAACAGAATAACCCCTACAAGACGAAAATAAAGTGATAAGGGCTCTTGTGTTGCTACCATTACAAGACGAAAATAAAGTGATAAGGGC